GCGCGCTGACCAGAGACCGAGTATCTTTCTTTCTTTTTTGGCCTTATCGTAGTGTTTTCCCTTCAATTAAACTTATCCCAACCAATAAATTAAAATATTTGATGAAAATGGGCACGGGTACCGGGGTCGAACCACAGATCTTGCGATTTATAGTTCACTCCACAATCCACTAGACCGCCGTTCTTTGAAATGCTTTAATGTACATGCATGACTAGCAATCATGATTCTGTGAACGTCATTGTTATTTTCTTATGAATAAACATCGAACTATAGCTAAACAATCATGCCATTGACGATGTGTGCTGCAGATAAAAACACCGCCAACGGCGTGGAGATTTTAAACGCAAAATGAGCTAGAACGCTGATAGAAGCAAATTCGGGGCAGTGAAAACGGGTTAAACTGGACGAATATTCTATTATGTATCGGGGAAACAAAACCCTGCATGGCTACACGCCTGTGGTTTGCGCTCGTAAACGGATGTAGTATGGGGAGGAAGATATAATTTTCACAGCGATAAGTTCGGTCCCAACCATCGTTAATATTAATATTTGATTTTTTTCTTCATGAAAATGACAGCATACCAGGCGCTACGTTTTCGCAAGGTGCTTCCTTTACTATCATTTACAGTCAAACAGGAAGGCTTTTCCAAAATAAGTTGGCAGTTGAATTGCTTTTGAATAATTGCAAATGTTGCACATCACCTTTAATTCAAGGGGATATCATGACTCAATCACACCTTGTTTGAATTGAACAAATCTATCTTTTTTACATTATACGCAACACAAATGCGATATATACACGGCCTTTATACAATAGTGCATCTTTTTTTTCGACAGAGAAAGTTTGAAGTAACTAAGAAAACCGGACTTCATGATAGGCCTGTATACATGTATATTACGATCGGAGGGCTTATTTATTAATTATTTTCCCGACGGCAGGTTAAATATGAGATCATTCTGCACAATAGAACTTATGCGTTGCACCTGCAGGTACCTCACAGGGTGTTCTTTGTTTATATTCATTTAATGTGGGGGTTGTGACACCCCCCACACCCCTCCCTCTAGCGGCGCCAATTAGACGACGCCCTTGCTCTGTGCATCTTGATTCGGTGTTTCATATACCGTACGGTACGGTATACCGACTAAGTATAAACAAAGGAAAGAGGAAGAGGAATAGAAAATGTTTATGGTGTAAATCGAGGACAGGAACCAAATCGAGAACTCCTTGGTTAGAAAACGTGTCAAAAAAACAATGACAGCTGTTGCGAAAAAGTTCGAGTAAAAACAAAGGAAAAGGGAAAGGGAAGAGGAACACTAGAAAATCCTCGATTTATACCATAAACAACCGTGTGTGTTGGTGAGTATGAGTTTGTTTCTGCATTCAATAGGGAACATTGACCAATAGAGGACAATAGGGTCCCCATTTCCCGAGAGGTCCCCAATTTGGATTCGTGTACAAAACATATGGGAGGTCTTCCTAAAAAGTTAGTGTACAGACAAAAGAGGGACAATAGGGGGTCCCGATTGCAGGCAACTACACTTCAGTGTCTGCGTTTGTTTATGGTGTAAATCGAGGACACACACGTGCAACATCATCGGTGAATCGAGGACAGGAACCAAATCGAGGACGACTTCGATTAGAAAATGTGTACAAAACCAATGACAGCTGTTGCGAAAAGTTAGTACAAACAAAGGGAAAGGAAAGAGGAACAAACTGAAAATCCTCGATTTACACCAACAAACGGGGGTGTACACACGTGTGTAAACGCCTTCAATGGTGGACCGCTATTGTCCCTCTTTTGTTTGTACGTAAACTTTTTGTTATACTTTTGTTCAACATATGTTTTGTACTCGATAGTCAATTGTGGACCTTCGGGAATTGTAAACCATATTGTCCTGTATTGTTCAATGTCTACTATACTGAATACAAAAACAACCCATACACACAGCCTTGCCTTACATACCTACTGCGGACATTCTTTGTATTCGTGTAGAAATACCGGAGAAAAAACTCATTTACCTGCATCGTGAACACTCTTTCAACCCTCTTTCATGATTTCCTTGAATGTTCCTTTACATTTTGCGATATATATACCTAAACCCCAAAATGCCTCTAATTATGTTTTCCAGACAGGGGGAAATCTAGTGTGGACGTGTGCAAGTTCACAAAGCGTTCACCCCATTCCTTCATCCTGTGGACCTCTTTTGTTTACAGGTCCACAAAGAGAATGCAAGGTTAGAACACAGTCGTACTTTACATAACTCTTGAGGACAAGGTATTGTGTTTCGTATTGTCCCTGTAATATAACACTCTCCCATATACTTAGCACACAAACGCAAGATAGAGGACCGTCTTCAACAAAAAATGAACAATCAAGGTCAACAAAGAATCTGTTGTTCTCTCTTTGTCTGTCGGTCCTCGGAGTGTTTGTAGTGCACGTACACCCCGTTCACTACGCCCCTGGTCTGATCCGCCCCCCCCCCCAAAAAAAAAAATAATCCTAGCATTCCCCATTTTGCTTATAATCATATTTAGTGTAATACTGCTTGTTGGATGGGTAACATTATATTTATTACAACTCAGAAAAAAATGTGGTTTCCGATCTCACGCCAGGAGGAATTGATTCCCGTGTCTACCCTATTAGACGGCGCATATACTGACTTAAAGCATGGCCAGACACCAGACTATTACGTACCTAATTATAATATGCAATATTTTTAAACAGTTGGAATGAGATGTCCAGTAATTTGAATGAGATTCACAGAACAGCATTTATTTTGGGCTTGGATGCACTCTGACAGGTGGACAAGGCCGTTGAGGGCGTCGTTCATTTTTCTTTTGCAGCGGGGTATTTCCTTTCGATTTCTTTCCCGTGCTTAATTTTTTGAAATTCCAGCCACTTTCCAAATTGTTTAAGCATAACCTCACACACGGGGATACATTCATAAAAGCCAACGAGCAATAAGATGCAACTATGAAAATAACAAAAACTACGAACGAAAATTGAATTGGCTAGGCTATGGCTAAAATATACTTAGTTATAAACAAAGGGGCAAAATCGCTTTTAAAGCAGTAATTAAATGGCGCGAAATAAATTTTAATCGAAATAAATTTTAATCGATCTATGCTAATAGACTTGACCCACGCACGCGTAGTTAAAGAATCGCACCCTAACCGTAAAAAGGTACAATTAACATTCGTTTATTAATTGTAAAAACAATTCAACGGAGGAAGGGGCGGGGCTACGATCACTCCTCCTCCCCAGGCTCACTCATCTCAGCATCGATGTGGATGGTAAGGCTATCTGCCCTTCCAACTGGTCCACCTGTGGGGATATAAGAATAGCAAAGCAGATAGCTAAGTATCAAATCTTGACCTTATAAATATGCCACAAATGTAGACTGTTCCTAATGCTCTGTCAGACCGGCAACATGACATTATGTTGATGCTAAGACATCTTCTGCAGTCACTCATCGTAAAGGTGTCACTAGAGGAGTTAGGGGTGGGGTATAGTACCCCCAGTAATAATTTGTGTCGGCCAAATCGTCCTTCCGTCGGCCAAATCGTATATTAATTGTCGGCAAATATGCCCTGATGAATAGCGCCACGAATTGTCCGGTAGTGTCTAATGTACCGCTTTGAACAGCGCCCCCAAAAGTCGGTTGGTGTCCATCGACAAAGCACTTTATGAACAAAACCAGAAAATGTCTAAATGTCTAAATTAATTCTTAATTTCCAAGAAATTTCAACTTGAAAATGTTTACTCAAATCCACCGTGCAAATCCTGTGGTAAAAATGGCGGACCAGACATTGTTTGGACCGATCACAATGGGAGATGACCTCGCGTGACGTCACACTTCTACAGCTTATGGCGGATACAGGCTTGTAATCAGAAAACGTCCACATGTTATAGTCTGATTTAACTCGCAGACTAGCAGTACCCTTTTCTTAACGTTTGAACGCAAATCGTTCCACATCACCTTCTGGTTGGTTGTGCTGTAGAGTATGAATGGGTAGGGATGTGCTGCCGTCTGTCTCTCCCAATGACAGTCTCCTCGCGCGGCAGACTCGGTCACAACCAGCCATCCTTTATCCACTCCACATCCACCATAGTGGTTGTTGATGTAAAACCGCCGCCCCAGGCTTTGTCTTATGCCAATCGAGAGATAGAGAAAGAACCAACTAAACAACCACTCTACAATAGAGGTTTTGGTTAAAAGGATCCCACACACCTCTCCACTATGTGCCCCTATATTTGAAAATATCTACAATTTTTTGGGGTACCAATACCGACTAAAATGGCTGATTTACAATGTTCATGCTCGATCACATTCCGCCAATAATCACTAAAATCAATTCAACACTTTTGAAGCAGCGGCGCAGCTACGTGGGGTGTGGGGGCGCCCCCTCCTCCAACAATAAAAAAAAAATCGTTGCCCCCAGTCGCCCCCTCCCCCCACCACCGGAAATTTGGCATACAGATATCGAGAAAACAGAGTCCTATACCATAATTTGCTGGTTGAACATAAGGTGCCATATTTCACGGGTTTTTCTTTGTTTCTTGTTTTCACGAAAAGCCTGTTTTTAGCGATTGGCTGTTTATTTTGACGTCCCGCGGAAAGCGAATAGCGCCACATATTGTCTGACATTACGGCCGGGTGGCGAATTTCTTTTCCGTAGGCGGGATGCTCCAAAGTCATGAAAAATGTAATAGTTTAGATCGGGCCAGTTTATTCATGAAACAGAACAATGATATCAAGAGCATTGTTGTTATTTAGTCAACCAGTTACCCTTAAAAAATAAGGTTAGTCCGAATATACGGTAGGGTTAGATAGTCCGATTTGACAACAAGCTTCGATAGTCCGAATTGAGAATAAGGTTCGAAAGTCCGAATGGGCAATACAGTTCGTCATAACTTCGGACTCCGGACCTTTCTGTTGATTCGGACTATCGGACCTTATTGTCGATTCGGACTATCGGACCTTATAGCTCGCCGCCTGACTGCTTGAACGCCGTGATCAGATCGGCATAGCACAGGGCGGCGATGGTGCAGACAGCCCCGCAGAAGATGATGATTATCGTAGATGACCACACAGAGGTGGAGTTGGCGATGAAAACCGACGGGGATAGGAAGACATTGGGCCCGATGGTGGCTCCCAGAATCAGGCACACGCAGTGGAGTAAGTTGGCGTGACGCCGCATGTACACGGCATCTGCGGGCGGCGGATCCGGAAGGGGGCCGGGTGCGGCTGGCGCGCTAGCCTCGGCGTCTTTGGTGGGGTAGATCGCGGCATCGCACGGTTGGTGCTTCTCGTCGTTCCCCTGATACTCTGATGACACGACCAGACTTGTGATATCGCTGGTACTGGTTCCAATTTCATGCCTCTTGGACCTCCGGAGGCTGGAGGTGCGCCGGAGTGTTGAAAGTTGAATGTTATTTGGCATTGCACTGTAGGTGAAGTACTATTGCTGTTTCTCTATGGTATAATATAAAGCAGTCTTTCAAAGACAATTAAATGTTTCCAATTTAGAGACCAAGTTGATTGATAATCCTTCCCTGATTTTTGGAACACCAACATTAACCAGACTCACAAAATTGGAGAAGTGTGTAGACACAGCAAAATCCATAGAGAGCAGAAAGCTCTAGTTTTATTATTGCATTGTCTTCTAAAAGTTCTATTCTCCTTCGAACCATGGAGAAATAAGAATGTTCAAGTCGAACCCAGCTTCCTTCACTTTTGACAAAGTGTATGGATGGCTGCTTCTTATTTCTTCGAAAGTCAGTTACAGGTAAACAGGTGGTTGACAACTTATTTACGCACGCGCAGAAACTCTTGCTCGTTGCCCTGGCAACGGCAGGGGTCGCTCAGCTGCATAAAATTCAGGGACTTGACACCTCAAACGGAATCATCACAGACTTGTTTGAAGCCGTTACGTGTGCATGGTTGTTGTGAGGTTTCAGTGTCTGAACTCCAGTCTGGACTTTGACGGTAACAAAAAAAATTGTCATGAGACTTTTCGTTGGCTCTGAGAAGGATCTGTTTTAGTGCATAACATTTTTAATTGAGTAATTTCCATTTTCTTGAAAAAACGCACCGACGCAGCCTATTGTCTTATCAGTCATCTAGGCCTGAATTTAGGTTATTTTTATAGTAGTTTATCAAACGCAAATACACCAGATAAATGTTGAAAAACAAAACACTTTAAAGAAAAGTGTAGCAGACAAGAATTATCAGTTTTCAACCCGATCCAGTACGTTAGTCTGCTGTGCACCGTGCTGCATACTTATTCACCATGTTAGTTCCTTTTATAGTTTCATCTCAAATTAACGTATTATAAAAATACACGGGTCTTTTGTCTGTTTCTGAGTCGATATTATTGATGTTTTCCTTAATTCGATCTGTATTTCTCAGGGTTTTGTTTTTCTTAAAATCAAACAGTTTTTGAGCTTGAAGCCACTGCTGAGACGTCACAGCGACCATGAGATTCCTGATTATCTGCCTGTGTGTTGCCCTGGCCAATGCCGGCCTAGCACCGCTGCTCACGTCCAACGACCGGTCAGTACCGAACAGCTGGATAATTAAGATCAAGGCGAGTATAATAACTATATTATCATTAAAATACAGTTAGGTTGTATAGCTATAGATATATTATACGCATGTAGCCCGGTATAAAATATGAAATGGCTTGATTCACACCCTTCTTCCCAGTGGCGTATCGGGAGGGGGGCAACTTGACCCGGCGACATTTTGCCATTTTTTCTTTAAGAAAACAAAGCGCCAGCACCTCACAGCCCCTACTAGTTTATAGTATACCACCCCTTACAATTTGCTGCCCCCGACCCAAAACCTGGATAATGCAAAATTGAATTCGTCTTGATATGATCCATAAACTGTGGATGCCCAATAATAATTGACGGGAAAATAAGAGCTTCTCATGGAAATTTGTGGACGTTTTAAAAGTCAGGCATAAACACTTGCAAAATGAGAACTGACCATTTTTTTTTTTTACATTTGAAGGAGATTCTGCTCCCAGACTTTTCTCGTTTTGATCGTCCCCCTTTCAGTCAGGTAGGCTACATCCTCCCTACGATCGCTCTGCATCCAAAGTATATTTTTAACCTTAAATTTTCCGGCCCAATGAACTGAAATTCTCTCTTCTAAAAAAAACATGCACCGAGCAGGATTTTGACGAAGTGGACCACGTTGCTGATGAGATCGCCAGCCGTTTCAAGCGGATGCTTCTCCCGCCCCCACGAGCGACCAAGATCCGCTACGTCCTGCCGGCCCTCACGCTGCAAATCCCAGCTCGGCTCATCGACGATGTAAGTTGACTTAATTGGACTCAGTCATTAGGCATATACCTTATTTTATCCAAACGAAAAAAAATCACAAAAACCAAATGATTCAACTACCTAAAAACCCTCTGTAATTGTTTCAGATTCGTTCAATTGAGGGTATTGAGTACATCGAACAGGACAGCTTCGGCACGCTGTATGGCACACAGGTCAACCCAATTTGGAACCTGGATCGAATCGATAGTCGTACTGGAACTGATGGCTATTACAACTACAATGATAACGGTAAATGTAAACATTCTTATTAGCATGCACTGCCTTAGTAATCGAGACAAATCATTGTCTTAATTAAAATCATTGTCTCATTATGAACTGCATTAAGGGTTTTTTGGCTATACTATTTTTAAAAAAGTTGTAATATCATTATTTTTTTTGTTTGACTTATCATCCCTAAAACTAGACCAGGGGGAACGTATGACGTGACTATCTTCTGTTATGCGAGTCCTATATAACGTCGTCAGAGTTGAGTTTCAGACCAAACAAAAGGCAACTCGGCCTATTAGTTAAATCGGGCATTTCTTGAGCGACGTGACACATTTTGGGGGTTTGGTCATAGTTTCGGAAATATAAAAAATATCTTTTTTTTTTGGCTTTTCCAAGTTCTTGGGAGTGGGATGGGAGTGTGGGATGGGAGTGTGGGGTGGACCGGGGGGGGGGGGGATAGGCCCCAAGTGGAGGGGTGTGGCCTACTCCCCTTGTTACGCCACTGATTGTGCACAGGTGGAATAGAGCCCCCCCCCCCTTATATTAAAATGTCTATTTTTAATTATTTCTTTAACTTTGTTATGAATGAATGTTATTGTTATGTCGCTCTGCAATTGGTATGAAATGACTTCAAATATTAGTTATTTTGAGGCACATTAAATCACTGGGAAGAATGTACTGAAATACTCACGGGAAGTCGATGTTCACGGGCAGTTGATAAACTTACAAAAGGTGGGCAAGCAAACGGTGATCTTTTCATAGGTCCCACAGGCCCAGTCAAGGGCCATCTTTGAACCCGTCTTAAAGACTTGCTGTCAGTCACTTGTGACGTATCTAGACTGAATTAATGCCCATCTCACTGACTGACCGTCTCGTGTGACTTAAATAGACTGGGTTGGGACCAGCTTTACTAGCTTGCATAGTCTTGTTCTTCAGAGTGTAAGTTTTGATAGCAATCTTCTCTCTCTGTAGTTCAAGGGAAAGGGGTCAACGTTTACATCATGGATACCGGCATCCAGACTCGACACAAGGTGTTCACGAGTCGCGCCTCCGTGCTCTACGGAGACGAAGACAGCATCGGGCACGGAACGCACGTCGCTGGCACGGCGGCCGGGGCGACGTATGGGATCGCCCGCGAAGCCAACGTGTACAGTCTCAACGTGTGTAACATGTTCAGCTACTGCCCGAAGAGTACGGTCGTTGAAGGTATGGGCTTGAATAGGCCTGAACTATTCCTCCAAAAATGGTCCCAATCAAAAAGAAATCGTTAAAAGCTTCTTCTTTTTATCCTTGAATAACAGAATCCATCAGTTAAGAGATCCCAAAAATTGTGACTACGTTTTCTTCGTTTTCTCAATATCTATATCTACTGTGCTTACATTTCAACAGGTTGTTTGTTATGCATGCTATTGAAGTTCATATTCCATGCTCTTCAAAAAAATGAATATTTTTTCTTCTAATGAATTTTCAATTTGTATGTTTTGTTTAAACGAAGAAAAAACTTCATTCCTATTTCGGGCGTCTGCAACCCTCTCAACATGGCTTTCATTTGGCGCAAAATATGACCCGCCCTGCACGGAGCCGAATTATTGTCTGGCAGTCAATAATTCGAATTCTGTGCAGAAGTAATTCAATAACTAAACGTCGGTGGATTTTTTTCGATCGATGTCTCATTCAAAAGTGAATAGCTTTGATATTGCTAGGAAAATAGCAATTGAAATGAAAAATCAATTTTTTCGAGGTGAAACTTCAACATAGCGCGGTAACGATCTTTAAGATTTTGTGCACTTTTGTTTCTTCAAACGGGAAAAAAAAACAAGTTAATGAATCGATTTACCATTAACTTGTTAGGTCTGCAAGCTGTGCGTGAGCACGGGGGTACCAGTGGCGGTGTGGTTTCCATTTCTCTTGGTTGGTCCCAATCCGAGACCATCAACACAGCGGTGAAGGAGATGGTCACTGCCGGCTATGTGGTGTCTGTCGCGGCAGGGAATTCTAACATCGACGCATGCAGTGTCTCGCCTGCCTCGGTCAACGAGGTGAGTCAATGGCGGGTTTAAGGGTGGGTGGGGGTTCAGGTCTGGGGTGGGGTCTAACGGGGATATCCCCAAACAAAAGGGGGCTTTTTGTAGTAATTAAACCACAAGAGAAGTGGAGACGATTGTCTACTCCCTTTACAGATTCTTGATGAGTATATAAAAAAAGTGATAAGAATTGGGGGAAGAGCGCCACTTATAGCGTAAAAAAAAGAAGGGAAAAAAATGGGGTTGGGTAGAACTACGTTTAAGATATGTATTTTCTTCGTTCAATGCTTAGTGTTATTAAGGGGATGAACTTTTATTCAGGATATTAAAGCTATGGAAGTAAAATATATAGACGGTCATTTTAAACTCATGCCAACCGGCGCTTTAGAAAAATGACAAGCGTTGAAAGGCAGTAATTCTCTTTTAGTAAACCTCGACAATGCTGTCTGTATTGCCTTCTTAATTTCAACATTAAAACCCAATCAGCTGTGCATGTTTATTGCTCAACAGTCCGTGCTCCTTTCAGCTGTTATTACTAATTTTCCAGGTAACCACCTTTTCGAAAATTTTTAACTTTTTTCGCGTGTCGTGCATGATGAAAATAATGTGTTTTGGAATAAAAACTAGATCAGAGCGCAAAGTGTAGATGGTGCTTAACTTACTCAAATATACATAGTTTGTGTAAATAATTCGTTGGCGTGGAGAAAGGATATGATAAATTTTGTCAGGAAGCACATCATTTACTCCGTGTTTTCCCCCGAGGTAATCACCGTCGGAGCGGTAGACGATTCAGACACCCGGGCAGGCTTCTCAAATCACGGTGCGTGTCTCGACATCTTCGCGCCTGGGGTCGACATCGTCAGTTCTACCAATAGTGACTACAGCTTTAGTGCTACCAAGATAATGTCCGGAACGTCCATGGCTTGCCCTCACGTGACGGGTCAGTTTTGTCTCCTTGTGGTGGTAGATAGAAAAAGTGCCCAAAATTGCCTGCGCCGACCAAATCAACATATGAATGCCTACTCAGTTTTCTTTCTAAATAGAGTGGAATTTTTTTGGTCCTTGCAACTTGAGGGTTTGTGGAAAATAAGGTTCCAATGTCTGACCAGGACTTGGAACTTATATTGCTAAGAAAATGAGGATGAAATTGGACAGTAACGTCGTATTGGCGAAACCAGGGTCGAAATTGCAGGGGAGCTGTGGGGACTAGGAAGAATCGTTTCTGAAAGATGGCAATCAGTCGGTTCAAAACATTAAAAAGCGGTGTTCTCCAAAGATAAAGGCATTGGAATAATTAAAATCGTACACTAATTATTGAATAATTAGAGTAAAAGCAACCATTTTGTTCTTCTATTTCTTGGTTCAAACAGGCGCCGTGGAACTGTTCTTGGGTCAGAACCCAGGCGCAACACCAGCAGAAGTCAAAACAGCATTGCTGAATGACGCAACCAGTGACGTCATTCCGGACACCAAAGGCTCGCCCAACAAACTTCTCTATATTAGTGTAAGTAAGGTTTACAATGATTTCTTAACAGTTTCTGCTGGTCCCAGAGGACTCAGAGGAGCCAACCTAATGTCCGTGTTTTGCACCTATCTAATTGACTGACTGACTGACTGAGGGACTGTCACTTACATGGGCGTAGCGAGGGGTGGGGGCAAGGGGAACTTGCCACCCCCTGGAAGGCCTCCCCCACCAAAATAAAAAAAGAACAAGAAAATGAAAAAGAAGACTCGGGCGAATCATATTATTATTTAATGCATATTTGATAACATGGACGTCCATTTTTCCACGGCTGTTTCTCCTTTCGCTTCTGGTCAGTGCTTTGCCCCACTCTAGAAAAAATCCTGTCGACGGCCATGGTCACTTAGTGACTTAAAATTACACTGGTTGTAGATTGTAAAGCCAATTAAAGGGAAGATACAACATTCGCAAACATAAAAACACGAAATGATCAAATTCTCACGGAATACCTTACTGAATTGTTAGGGAATGACAGTCTAAAGCATCCCCTAAAATCGTGGCTCCTGGTGTGCTGACATTTTAAAGAAAAAGTGTATTTTTCCAATGCTGGTCGGCCGACCAGCGTTGAAAAAACTGGCTTTTTTCAAAAACTGTACCTAATTTTTCATATCGCATTTTCTTTGCAATTGCAAAGCCTAGCCTGCTAGACTGATTTTTTGACCTTACAATTCCCCAAACTCTATAAATTGACCAGTTTCATCTTAAGTGGCGTCAGGGAACCAGACTACAAGAACACGATGGGTTTTCTTGGTTATTCCAGCATCTCACAAGCCCAAAACATGAAACAAGTCCGTTTAACAATATTTGCTATATCAAGCTATTCCTCCAAATCCATTGTTTTCTGAAAATTGCAGCGAAAGCAAATGTTGTACATTCCCTTTAATGGACCAAACCCGACCCATTGTGTAGACCAGATGCGTGAAAAGACTTCTGTGGATAGCCACTGTTCGGAATCAATTGAATGGAATTTTGTGCTCTCTGGGAACAGCTTTACTCGGCTTTCCCTTTTTGTCTTTTTTCCCCTTGTTTTGACTTATCTGAATTTTAAACTAAATCTTTCTGTTTTTCTTTCTTTACAGTATTAGGTCCAATCATCGGAGGAGTGGTTTGGGACCATCGAAGAATGACACGTGTTTGAACGTCGGTGAAGGGCAAAAAAACTATTTTGATTTATATCACCCCGACGCAAAATTCCATCTTATGACAAGTGTTTTGTTTGAAATCGTCCCTTCTTAACCAGTCACGGCAATAAAAACAGTAACGTTTAAAATTTTGAGTTGAATCCAAACTTTGATAGTAATTATAATTGACTGTTTTTCTGACTAGTTGCATTGTGCGCTGATAGCCCGTTGTAGTAAAACAAATGCACTATAAATGGCAAATAGTATGCATACTTATGAAGTACATTGAAAACAATCTATTAAAAGTAAAACTGAGGCCGAAAAACCATATTTTGCAGATTATCGATTCTACTGTGCTTCACAATGTTAGAACTCAAATATTTGTAATCGACGCATGAGACCTTACTTGTAAAAAACGGACGTATGTTTGTGAAGGTCTTTCGAATGTGAATGAATTAACAAAAATAATAGTAAGATCCTTTGAACGGGTACTACCAGTCTGATATGTTTATGGAATTATGAGAGGAGGCCAACTATTCTTGGCTTTCGTTTGGAGTGGGATGGTGCTGTCTTGGTCAACAGCACATTTTATTTTTTAAACCGTCTTCATTGATTTTTCTCCGAGCGTTGCCATTTCAGGCAGTATAATTTCACAGGTATAATATTATGACTAGTTCTTTCTTGACTTTGAGCAATATTTTTTTTCTCGTTAAATCGATGCCTACGTGTCTTAAACATAGTCTTATGCCCGCGTAACCAAATATTTTTTTTCTCCAAAGATAGCGAACATACACATTTTGAGTAAAACTAAAATATCAATTGCGAGGAAAAAGTGAATCTGCGGCCGAGGGGGGGGGGGGGGGGGGGGGGGAATCGTCAGACCCCGACCCATACGGGTCTGTAACGCGCTATTAATTTGACAGACAATGTTGCTTTTGGACTAGTTCGTTACTTAAATTGAAAAAAAAATGATAATAAACCACACAAAAATCCAAATAACTCAGTACATGAACAACATTCCGTCTGCCCTCGATTTGCGCTCCAGCGGCGTTAGACGAAGTTTCTACCTGAAAATTAATGAAATCCAAGGTTTTGTTCATGATTATGTGAATTTCTATGGAAGCCCTGGAATAGCTTGCAAATAACAAAACAAAGACTGAATTAAAGGATTCCATTTTATGTTTATGGACTATTCACTTTTAAAGTCTTTTAGTTGTGATGAAATAAAATATTGTATTGTATTGTATTCCACATTGGCAAGAAGTTAAGACAGTTCCGATGACGCATGTTCTATATATTTGTACAGGCCTATACACTCGGATTGAATGCATCATGAAAAAACCAATAACGACCTCAATTGAAGTATTTTTGTCAATTTATTATATCTTAAAATTGAAAACGATTTTGTACACAACTAAAGGGTGAGTGAAAAAGAACGTGACATAGATTTATGATTGTTTTTTTTTTCTTCTTAAAAAGCGATCAAATTTGATACACAAATGAAGTATGTCTTAAAAGGGCATTTTAATTATTCTTTCACTTATCTGCCACAAAATACTTAAATTGATCCATGCTATCAGTATGCATGTTTATTAAAATGACCTTTTTTAAGCTGTCCATGGAATGCCATTGGAAGCAACTGAGCTGAGTCCGAATTACAAATTGAACAGAAGAAGATTTTAATCATTTGAGTCAAGACTGAAACATTTTTTTTACTGTCAGATTTTGGGTTTTGAATATGAGGAACAAGTCAACTTTTTTTCCCGAAATATTGATGGCGATTTTTGTCTGCTTTTCTTTGCAAGTTTTCGTTCAGTCATGAAGGTGGGAAAACGTCTATGTTTTATTGTATTTAATGGATATTCATCAGTTCGTAGAACGGTAAAATGATAAGAGGTGGGCAGCCGAATTTTGCCATCTTTTTATTAAAATAGACATAACGTGTGAACAGAGTATGCAAATTACGTGAGTTGTTCATAGTTACTAGTCAATAACATGCACTTTATCCCTATGTTATTTTTATGAAATGGAGCGAGCCACAATTTTTTTTAAACATTTTTTCTTCTTCTAATTTTGTCACTTACTTTTTGACTCACCCTCTACTATAAGTCAATTACACAAATATATTTACATACAATACGATTAAATGATAAGCCGCTATTGGACGAACTAATAAGGTGATGTACAACATTTGCATTCGTCGAAATGTTAGGAAATGAACTGAATTGGGGGCCAGCAATTTATAGCAGGTATCGCTCAATTTACCAGTTCAGTGTTTCATGTCCACTGATGCCAGAAAAAAAACGAGAAAAAAACGCTGTTACTTTTCAACAGTCAAAGTGCAACCTGCTAAATTTAACACAGGATATTCATAAGTGCCGGCTGTGTCGGAAAAAATTACATAATTGGGTGCGTAACCGAGTGTACGATACGAGGTCATTGGCTGGTTTGCCAGTTGCGTAGCCGGGGGAGGGGGGGGGGGAGATTGCAACGGGTTGGAGATTTTAAGAGCAAAATCGGGACGCCAATAGAAGCAAAATCGGGGTGGTGAAAATGGGTTTAACGGGACGAACATTCTTTTTTGCATCGGTCAAACAAAACCCTGCAGGCCACGCGCCTGGGGTTCGTGCCCGGTAACGGATGTAGTATTTGAAGTATAGTTTGCCATTTTCACAGCAATAGTTCGGCCCCAACCATCGTAAATGTTATTCTTTTTTTCTTCATGAAAAATACAGCACACCATACGTTTTCTCAAGGTGCTTTATACTATATCATTTACATTCAACCAAGTAGGCTATTTCATAATATTTTGGTAGGTCGTTTTTGAATATTTGCAAATGTTGCACATCACCTTTAATTAAAGGGGAAATCATGAATTTACCAATCACACGTTTGAATTTGACAAATATACCTTTCTACACACTACACAAATGCAATATGTACACGGCCGCATCTTTTTGTTGTGACCGAAAACCGGATTTCATAATAATAGGGTACGATCTCACAGTGGAGGTCTATAGTTATATATTAATAATAATCCCGACGGCAGGTTAAATATGAGATCATTTTGCACAATAGACCTGATGCGTTGCACCTGCAGGTACCTCACAGGGTGTTCTGTGTTTGATTTAATTTAATATGGGGGTTGTGACACCCCCACACCCATTGGCGGCGCTACGAGGGGAGGGGGAGGGGGCTGGGGAGTGGCATTTCCTCCCCCCCCCCCCCGGAAAAGCCAAAAAAGGAGGAAGAAACAAAGAACGAAAAAGAGGCGTGAAGTCATATTTTTATTAATTTTATACACATTTAGCAAAATGGGCGTCTGCAGGGGTGTCATTGGGGTGGTTAAATGTCCCCCGCCTACCCTCGCAAAAATGATAAATTGAGAATATGCCAGAAACTCTAGAAGGATTTTTTTTTTGGGGGGGGGGAAATGTGCTTTGGCCCCAGCCCCCCAGAAAAAGTCCAGGCGACGCCCATGTGAAAGCTTGATAAACATTGGTACTTTGGTAGACAAAACACGCCACACATGCATTTATGCAGCCGTAGATAGTGGCTTATTGCCGGACAATTGACTGCCCCCCAAAAATATTACCTTGCCCCCCAATTCCCCCCCCCCCCCCATGTTAGAGTCAGGCGCCACCACTGCCCACACCCCTTTCTCAAGCGACGCCGGGACGAGCATTTGCTCTATGCATGTATCTTGATTTGGTATTTGCTGCTTTACTCTACAGCCTCCTTTTTGTTTCAATATGACGATCTCGCCCATGCCTTTGAGCGAATCGTTGCCAAGGTAACACTCATCTCAGTGATGAAAATATTACAAAATAACGAATTAATGAGCTCTGAATATTTCTGTGTTCAAACGTTTCCGAAATTCTGTCTTCAAGTGACGTTTCCTTCAGTTTTTGTTAAACATCCAATACTTGAACGTCATATCACCAAGAAAAACAATCTGTCCTTAAAATACGAACTAACGAAATCTTTTTTTTTTAATCAGTAGGCCTAAATGGCGCGAAATAAGTTGTACTTATGTAGTAAATCTATGCTACTAGTCTTCAGATCCGCACATGCGTGGTTAAAGAATTACGGCCAAGAGCAATGTGAATAGCACAAGTGTAAAAAGGTGCATTTTAATATCCGTTAATTAATTCAAAAACAATTTATCGGAGCCTGGAGGGGCCGGGCTAAGATCACTGCTCCCCCTCCACCTCTGGACGCGCAGTAGTTGTAGATCCAGGCTCACTCAGCATGATGTGGATGGTAAGGCTATCTGCCCTTCCAACTGCTGCACCTGTGGGGATATAAGAATACAAAAACAGATAGCTAAGCATAACATCTTTACCTTATAAATATTGACAAAAATGTGGACTGTTCCTATGCTTTACCAGACCTGCAACATGACATTATGTTGATGCTCAAACACCTTCTGAATCCATTTATCATAACGGGCGTCGCCAGAGGAGTTAGGGGTGAGGTTTGGCCAGTGGCGTAGCTAGGATTTTTTGAGGGGGGGGAGCCACAGGGGGAATCAGAATATCACGGGGGGCACATCGCAAACGTTTTCCCCAGTTTTTCTCAGTTGGGCCCCATAATGCCTCGCTATATCCATTGATATAAGAAATTGTGAACAGTAAGCCTTTGGCTGACTGAAAAAATACAACTACAAAAACCCTTTGTGGTTGGGGAAGGAAAAGGGGCATTAATAGTATTTTGATGGGGGGCACCTAGCTGGGGCACGTGCCCCCCCCCCCAGGCCCCCGTGGCTATGCCACTGGGTGTGGCACCCCAGTAATAATTGTTTGTTGTTTTTGCCAAATCGTCCTTCTGTCGGCCAAATCGTATACGTCGTGCCTGTCGTCAAATATGCCGCCTATTATACCGCCACGTGTTGTCCGGTAGTGTCAAAGATGTATTAAAAAAAAAGGATAAGTTTCCCGGCTATTGTAAAACATTTTTGTTCGGATTCACCGATTTTTATATTCAAACTCGTCCAGCAACATCGATTAAGTGCACTTCCAATGGTTAATTTTGTCATTTGACAGACAATTTCAATTTTAGTTTAAACAAATTCAAACAATGAGCACAATGTTTTCGACCCGGAGTATTTCGTCTCGTCTAAGCCTAATCGTGTTATTCAGAAATCTAATTCGTCTAATTGATTTTTATATAAGACGAATTCTATCACTGAATGCTGCCATTCGGCAACAGCTTAGACGAATTTGATCTGTACTGACGAATATTCTCGACCCGGTGACTAAAGAGGGTGATATACCTTGAAATTGAATGGTAAATGCCTCAATTGGTTTTGTTAAAGAAACGTGTGAAATTTTTCGTCGACGAAATGAAATATATAATACAGTTGGTGAGTTTGAATGAAAAAACTTTAAAAATAGCCAGGAAAACCTACGTTAAATTTAAAACGCATACTAGCAGTACCCTTTTCTTACCGTTTGAACGCACATCGTCCCACGACACCGTCTGGTTGGTTGTGCTGTAGAGTATGATAGGGTGGGGATATGCTGCCGTCTCTGTCTCCCATGGGCAGTGCACTCGCGCGGCAGACTCGGTCACAACCAGCCAGCCTTTATCCCCCGCACATGAACCGTAGTTGTTGTTGATGAAAAACCGCCGATCCAGGCTTTGTTTTATGTTAATCGAGAGATAGAGAAAGAACCAAGTAACAGCCACTCAACTATAGAGGGTTTGGTTAAAAGGATCCCACACACCTCTCCACTATAGATGTTCGAAAAAAATCTAATTCTAATTTTTTGTTGGGGGGGGGGGTGCCACTCCCTACTAAAATGGCTGATTTTACAATGGTCATGCTTGATCATATTCCACCAATAATCACTTAAATCAATTCAACACTTCTGAAGTCGTGTCATCGCCTGAGGTTTCGAACTTCAGTTCCAATCATCAAAATATTTCCTATAAGCCCCTGATGAATCAATAAATTACAATATTATTGTGTGTAAATCAAACTGATCAGACGATTGACTACACAAGAGCTGTAATCAAGCCCTTCAAATGTCCCTGCTTATGCAATCAGATATAGGTGGACAAAGCAGCAAATTACAAAAACAAACAACACAAAAGCAACAGCAACAAACAACTACCGAATACAACAACAGGCTATACCTTAACAGTCGAACATCACCGTCGATACTGAAGAGCCGGCCATTGCCCACACTTCCGGTAAACTGAGCCGATTTGAGATCATCCCAGGGAGATGAAATCAGGCGGGTCTGCGTGAACCAACTCTTGATGTCGGAGCCGGTTCCATTGAAGATCAACTCGGCTCTCACCCCCGAGCTGTCATACAGAGAAAGCTTTACCTTCGCAGAAAAAGAAGGGTGTTATAAATGTGTCATTTTCTTTAACTGCAAGATTAAGAGGAAAATCGATTCACTTTTTATACTTTCGGACGATGAGGTCACTCAGGGGGGAGGATCTAGGTTTGGCTTAAGAGGGGGTTTACTTTAGCTGATAAGTGTGGGTGGGCGGGGAATAGTGAGTAGTATGTGCTATTTTTCTGTTAGGCTATTTCTTCTTCTTTTTTTGCTGATGGAGGTTGGGTGGTTAAATCCCCTATTCACCGTAGATTCGCTGCTGTAACAAGAAATGAGAAATCTTTGAAAGCATTGCTACAGGACCGGGGGAAATACCCCCCTCCCCGCAATAAAAATATTGTAATCCACAATGCTTTCTCCAGCATTCCGATGCAATTTGAGAATAAAAGTATGAACTTTAGCATTCCGTTTACTATTTAGTGGACCCATTAGTCAGCGGCTGACCGGGGGAAGGGGGGGGGGGGACGGGACGGGGGGGGGGCGGGGTAGTTGCAACACGCCTCCCCCTAGATCCGTCACTAAAATACTTATTACAACTCTTGTATTATCATGTCAGATTAGTAACGAAACAGACATGAAAACCCATTGATGCCCAATGCAAGTGTGGATTGAATATCGTTCTTGTTGTTTGTTTTGCGCAGTGGTAAGCGACGGACCCTCCATTTCGACATCGTGACATACTTACTCGTCGGACATTCAGCTGCCCGTTGCGCCAGGCTTGGTAGAGTGAATTATCACGGCAATGACCACTGGCCTCATAACTCGAGGTCCAGTTCATTGCGGTCCACATGTCATGCAGCTTCACTCCAGTTCCTGCTACGCCTTTGAACACCAGTCGCCACTCTGGGTCTGTATAATAGGAAAAGAGATTGTTTCCCCCATTTTCATTTTTCCACGATGAACCAGACTTCAAAACACATTTACCAACACGTAATTAACTTTAAACACTCATCTATTGTCAAATTGTGACGTCATGACTAAATAAGTTTTTGGTGTACAGCAATCACAAACAGACGCTGTCAATTGTGGTTCTGATTTGGTGCGTGTACAAGTCACTCACCAGGAAGAAGTGAAAACACAAACTCATTGTAAATGACAAAGATTAAAAAATATATATATATATATATATATAAAAATACTGAAACAAACATTATCCGGCGTTTATTTGGCGGGCGAGGTTTGCAAGAGAACATTTTTTTAGGGATCTACATCCGTCACTGACTTTGTCATTTCTTTTGGTTTGAAATAAAAACGTTTCATTCGATAGGGAATCAAGGATTGTTTCAGAATGAGTTAAAACGACACTTAGAATTAGATAATTCATGTTATATTACTAATGGTGATTCCGTTTACAATTGTAAAACACAAGAGAAGAGTTTGTTTTAATGAATAAAACTTCCTCCGAGGATAAAAAAAGAGAAAACAAAAATACGACTAATAATACATTAAATTAAAATCTGACAAAATTAATGGGCTGCAATATCCACTGAAAACGGTGCTTTGGCGAGACCTCTTTGGTAACAATTCTTTTCTACTAAATAAAATAAGATTATTGGTGAGCTGCTGTCATTTTATAATGCAGTGACTCCGGGAAAATAAACAAAGAGAGCCACAACCATTAACGGCCTGCTTTCTGCCTCGGCTGCTCGCCCAAATGTCAATTGAACATCAATGACAAGAAATTAATAAAATCCCGTTAATCATTCCAATTGTTTACTCCAATCCACTTCAGTTCAACGCCAACATAAAATCCAAAGCGGCTGATTCCCGGTACTTTTTCATCACATAGTATGCGAAATTAATTAACCTATTAGTGTAACCCGTCTGCTACGCACCAAAGCCGTGGAACCTCCAACGTGGGAAACAAAAACAGGGCAAAAAAAACAGCTGAATATTCAAATTATAGGTTTTGCCCTTCGCTGACGTGCCCCGTTTTTAGCTTGTTTAAAATGTTTCTAAGGCAAATATCTTTAAGCAAATAGGTAATTATTGGTATGTTATAGCTTGTTAACGTATTTACGGACATTTAATACAGTTAAACATTGACCGAGGAGAAATAAATTAGCGGCTCAAAAATCTATGCTAGAAAAGTCAAATCAACTCTCACTGTGTGGTTTTGTGTGTTGTCTGAGAATAATCAGTGGTTTTTTTTCAACTTTCACTCGGGAGGTAACACACTGAGTATACAGTGTTTAAAACGTCGGTGAAGGGCAAAACCTATAATTTGATTTATCACCCCGACGCAAAAATTCCATCTTATAATAGTTTATAAGCGGTACCCGCTGCTATGTACATCAGATTCGAACCGGCCACCCGATCCCGTTAGCTCGGTGGTCGACTGGTAAGACATCTGCAATACAAAGCAGGAAGTCGTGGGTTCGAGTCCCACCCGAGTGATTTTTTCCAACTTCCACTCGGGAGGTAACACATTGAGTATACAGTGTTTAAACCTATTATTTGATTTACATCACCCTGATGCAAAAATTCCATCTTATAACAGCTGAATATTGCAGAGACATTCAACGTGGTGACATAAACACGTCATCAAACCATGGAAACTGTGTGGACAGAAGAATAAGAACGTATCAATAGCCAATCGATTAGGTGAAAGTTCATTGATCAGTTTCCGATAAATGAGCTGGTGTTTGATTCAACCTCGGAGGCTCTTGGTTTAGACACACGAGATAGGTAAAAGATCGTAGTTAGGTTTAGTACTTTTGTAGATAAGAACTTAAATTTCCCATTGAACAATGACACAAATACCAAGAGTTTTCTAATAAATTGAAATAAAACAAGACAAACATGTTATTGCCAAATTTACATCTAAAAAAACCCATTTGGCTGTGTTATCAAAATAAGGTTTCATAAGTATATTGAATACGGTACTTTGTAACCTTTAAAAACTGGGGGAAACGGTTAAAGGTAGAGTAGATCATATAAATTGTGCATTTTTTTTCGTTTGAACCAACAAAAGTGCTCAAACTCTAAAGAGGGATGCTCAATAACTATCCTGATGAAGTTTTAGCTCTGTGAATACTGTATATTTTCGAGAAAACAGAACAAAAAACATAATGTTCTGGATCGCAATTTCAATTCCAAAGTTCCCGAATTGCGCCCTCTCGTGACACACATCCCGAAATCAGCATTTGGGACATGATTCTCATCCAGCCGGCTGTCAACCAAACCAACTACGAATTAGAATGCATGGGGGTTGTATTCACAGAAATTTCCAAAAGTGTGTTACTTGACACACGTTTGGAAATGACCTTCTTTTGTTGTTTTCTGTTTCTTTTTGTTTTGTTTTTTGTTTTTACTTTTCCAGGGAGGAGGCAAGCACCCTCCTTGCCTCCCCCCTCCCCCCCCCCCCCCTTGCGACGCCGATGTGGTCCACTCTACCTTTAAAGATCATACCTCATGCTCTTCAAATTGCGGATTTGTTTTCTCCTCGCGAATTTACAATTGGTATGTTTTGTTTTAGGGGGAAAAAACCTACTTGATTCTGATTTGGGGCGTCTGTCTGTCTGCAACCCTCTGAAAAAAGGACATTCTTTTTGTGCACAAATAATACGCGCTGCGAGAGCCGACTTATTGCTGGCAGCCAATAATTCGACATCGGTGAAGAAGTAATTCAATAACCATTATTTAAGCTATCATTTTATAATGCAGTGACTCCGGGAAAATACACAAAGAGAATTACAACCATTAACGGCCTGCTTCCTGCCTCGGCTTCTCGCCAAAATGTCAATTGAGCATTAATGATGAGAAAATTAATGAAGTTCAATTAATTTCAATTGTAGACTTTATTAAGCGCAAGGCTACCATAAAATATTTAAGCAGCTTATTCCCTGTACTTTCCATAACAGAGTATCGGTACCGTCTGGTACGCACAAACGGCGTCAATTTCTAGAAAAAAATAAGTGTGGGGGGGAGGGGATGACTGCAATATAGGCCTTTGCATTGAATGCTTGTTCCTGACAGTCCCAAGCACGGCTTTCACCTGGTGCTTCATTTTCTGTTACGTCCTCTTTTCGTCTTGACATCTTTTCCCTGATCATTATATTTGCAACAATTAACACCAATGGGTACCGAATAATGGATTTTCATTTAATAAAGAAAATAATTTGCAAACTCTTCCTGCAATAACTTTCTGTTTGATGAAGTCATCATTATGAAACCTCGCAAACTATTGTTCTCTGTAAAGAATGTTCATGGAGAACGAAATTTATTTACATTTTCATTTTCAAATTAAAAGTCATAGTTTCTTCGACATATCGCTAGAGGGTATACCCTTTCGGGTGATGATGTTATCTTGCCTTCTTTCGTGTTTGGCATCCCTAACTGAACATTTTAAAAAATTTGTCCAATTGTTTAATTTTTCCAAGTTGGCTAATTCTCCGTTAAAATGTTTGAAAATGGCAATTGAGCATCAATGACAGGAAATTAATGAAGTTCCATGAACCCTTTTCAACTGTATACTTCACTTAAGCGCAACCCCAACATAAAAGTCCAATGCGGCTTATTGTCTGTTCTTTTTCATCACAGAGTACCGGTATAATTACGCGTAAATAACCCTTGGTGTGTAACCTGCCTGGTATACGCACCAAAGGCGTGGAACCTGGGGCTCAAAAAACTGAAGCGAAACGCTCAAGCTAAAGATCAAACCACTGCTCTTAAAAAAAACTTGTTTTTGTTACTCCTAATGAATTTCCAATTTGTTTATATTTTTTAACGACAAAAACTACTTTATTCCTATTTTGGGCGTCTAAGAGTCTCAGAGTACCGGTATAATTACGGGTAAATAACACGGTGTAACCCACCTGGTACGCACCAAAGGCTTGGAACCTGGGGCTAAAAAAACTGGAGCAAAATGCTTAAAGATCAAACCACTGCTCTAAAAAAAAAACTTGCGGTTATCCGTGATATGCACGCATGTTTTATGAACGAGGTACTTTACATGAAGCGCACCTTGGCTGTCGACATGGGGAAAATAACAAGAAAAACACAATATCTACTTCACTGTTTGCCTGTTTTGCAAGCATAACCCCTTTTCTTTACAGGTTTCAGAACCAAACCTCGCAGTGATAATTGATATCAAAAGTCATTCGGGTGGATATCTATGTTCCCAAATACCTATGTTCCCCAACCCTAACCTTATCCCTAACGCTAACCCTAACCCTAAGGATTTTGGGGAACATAGGTATTGGGGAACATAGGTATTGGGAAACATCGGATAGCCCGACAGGGACCATGGTTGAGCATACCCACGAAGAAATGCCTGTGAACTCCCCCAAACTCCAACATACATGTTTTTACATTTGATATATAGCAACTGTGCTAGGGACCATGAGTGAGTATACCCACGACCTAACCTATGTCCATCCCACAGCTTACCAGCAGCTGTGCTATTTACCAGCCGTGATTTACCCACGAATAAAATGCCTATGCACTCCCCAAAACTCCAACAGTTTCACAAGTCTCATGCCTTTTTGCCCTGAACCTCACAGAATTCAACAAGGTCTCCCTGGGCCTTTGGTACCGTGTCAGACAAAGTCCAACAACAAGTTGCTTGGGTTTGGTACTGAACCTGCCAAAACTTAACAAAGCCGGCTGTTGGAGTTTGATGGGTTTGGGGTAGTCAGGGAAAAATGTCAAGACGAAAAGAGTAGGTAACAGAAAATGAAACGCCAGGTGAAAGCCGTGCTTGGGACTGTCAGAAACAAGCATTCAATTCATAGGCCTGAATTGCAGTCAACCCCCCTACCCGATTTTTTTCTAGAAATCGTCGCCGTTTGTATGAACCAGACGGGTTACATTACCGGTACTCTGTATGTAATGAAAAGTACGATGAA